TGTCTGGCTCTGACCTGTCTGTCTCTTACCTGTCTGTGTGTCCCTCCAGGACGGGTCGATGGACCTGAGCTTCTTCACAGCAGATTGTTTCCACTTCACAGTGAAGGGCCACGAGGAGCTGGCTAAGGGACTGTGGAACAACATGGTAACTGATGATGAAGATGAAGATCTATAATGACTGTTATTAAATATTTTACTGATGTTTGTATCAACACTTTGACTTCATTAAATATTCTGTAGAGTTTACTGATGAAACTTTACATCACTGAATTCACTCGACATCTTCATCTACATCTACATAAAGTTTTTTGTATCGTGACCTTCGGTGGGTCGTCTTTTGTCTCAGTTTCAGCCTGACGGAGCCAAAGAGAAGATCAAGACATTTTCAGAGCCGGTAAAACTCATCTGTCCATCAAAGGTAGCACATGTTCAACATATTTCTATGTCTGTGTTTGGAGATAATAAAGTTCCTATTAGGGACTGTTCTGTATTTATCGGGGGGGTCTGCAGTGTGACCCTAACCCTCCACCATTAATCACTTATTGGCTAGTTTAACCTACATGTATGAAACTTGGCAGGCTTACGTAACCCTGTGACACGTACAAAAAAGCCTCTTGGTGGCATGCTCTAAACCCAACAGGAAGTTGGCCATTTTGAATGTACTTGACCAAACCTTGGTCTGTCCCATCCCAAGACCTTGATGATGAAAAGTTATCAAAAGCTTGAATTTTCGTCAATGCGTGTGACCGTGGGATGGCGTCAAAGTTAGGGGACTCGCCACTAAACAGGAAGTAGTTTATAACTCCAGCATACATGGTCCAATCTTGCCCAAACTTCACAGGATTGATGACAGTCCCGCCCTGAACACATCTACATGTCAATAATTAGTGATAAATATAGCGCCCCCTACTGGCTACAGGAAATGTCATGTTTTAGACTTTAATGTACATCTCCTACAAATTTCACCACATCCACCTCAAACTTGGTGAAAAAAGCCATGAGACCTTGATGACACTTTATTGTCGAAACTGTGAGTTTTCGTTGAAGGGCGTGGCCATGGCCTGGCAACGAACTTCGATGTTTTGCCGTGATGATAAACGTTGCTGTAACTTGACTCCACGTGGGAATATCTCCCCAAAACTTCACACATATGATGACAGTCCAGCCCTGAACACATCTACAGAGGAATTTTGAATCACCACCATAGCGCCACCTTCTGGCAACAGAAAGTTACTTTATACATTCTTTGATGTCCCGCTTCTAGCAGGTTAATCAGACCCACCTCAAACTTGCTGGTCTAAGTCCTTAGACCTTGATGATGCTTAAAAATGAAGCTCTTGAGTTTTTATCAAACGCTGTCACCGTGGCGCTGCCTTATTCCCCACTAAACACGATGTTGTTTTGAAGGGACACAGGATGCTTGAAAACTCACCAAACGTGGCATACACATCACAGGTCACAAGTCCTGTTGTCTGATGTGATTTTTGTGCTTTGATGCACCAAGATGGCTCAACAGCGCCCCCTGGAATATTTCAATTAAGCAGCCCCTGAAGCTGATTTGACCTGCATGTATGAAACTTGGTAGGCACCTGTAACACTCTAAGACATACAAAAAAAGCCTCTTGGAAACCCAACAGGAAGTCCACCATTTTGAATTTACTTGTGCCACTTTTGTGCATTTTTGCCCATTTCCAGGGCTTGTAAATTAATGAACTAGTCCTAGAGATTTTATCCGATGGACTTCAAACCTTGGTCTGTCCCACCAAAATGACTTCAAGAACAAAAGTTATTAGAGTCATGAGTTTTCGTCAATCCGTGTGACTGTGGCAAGACGTTTAATGTCCATGTGTCGCCAAAAACAGGAAGTGGTTTGTAACTCCAGCATTCATGTTCCAATCTTCCCCAAACGTCACAGAATTGATGACAGTCCCGCCCTGAAAAGATCTGTATGTCAATATTCAGTATAGAGTACAGTGCCACCTAGCAGCGACAGGAAGTATGTCTTTTCAGACACATATTTTTTTCATTTACCTGACATTCACATGCTGTGGTTAAAAGGACATATATACGAACAAGCCATATCATTAGAGCCGACATCCTGCCAGCCCCCCCGAGTTGCATGAAGGTGCGAGGGCCCGTTCATCGCTGCTTGCAGCTTTAATTTTGAATAGAATTCCATAAAATGTGTGTTTATTTCTTTCGGGGTCTGTGAGGAGCGTTCCCGAAACTGATCTTATTCTGTGTATAGCTCGCGAGGCTTGAATGTGCCTCAGTTGGCGTGCTACTAATTTCTGGGGTTTATCGCCTATCTCAAATTGTATCTGTTTAATTCTATTTGACTGCTTATTGACCTGAGAGGATAAAATTGCATTATATTCTTGTCACAGGAAGATTATCATACTCGGGGTGTTGGGGTCTGGTGAGACTCAGTATGAGTTCTCTAATTTGGTAATGGACTCATCCAGTTCTGCTGATCTTTTTTCTGACTGTTTTTTCCTACCTGTTATGTAAGAAATGATGTTGCCTCTGAGCACTGCCTTAATAGCTTCCCATAATGTCGAGTCGTCAGCATCTCCTGTATCATTTGTAAGTATAATTTCAGGCCAACCTTTCTGACATATATTTCAAGAAGCTTTTATCTTTTAAGGTTGTGTTATCAAATCTCCAAGCACGAGCGCTCTTACGGTGGTTAAATCTGATATCAAGGGACACTGGAGCATGGTCACTTATAAAAATATTATTGAAATGCAAGGTTACAACATTGGAAATCAATTTAGAGTCTAACAGCATGAAGTTGATCCTTGAGTAAGAATTATGTACTGGGAAAAAAAGAGTAGGCTCTAGTGGTGGGGTTATTTATGTAGCCTCCAAATATCAACAAGGTTTAGACTGTACATTATGTTTTTTAGCACCTCACTGGATTTACTATTCACTGGTGTTTGTCTAAAGAGGCATCAATTATACAGTAGAAGTCGCCCCCCATTATAATGTTTGTGTCGCCCCCATCTGGAATTCCATTCAAAACTGTTTGATAAAATTATGGATCATCAAAGTTTGGACCGTAGATATTTACCAAGGTTACTGGGAAACCATTAACTGTTCCTGATACAATTATAAATCTGCCATTGGGATCCCCAATGGTGCATCTGCCTGTGACTGCCCCTTCCTTACCACGAGAATCATAAACAAACTGTCCATGTGCGTCGAGACGCCATAGCTGGAGTCAGTCGTGACCTGCATCGGGATTCAGCTGTTCTCTGTACCTTTAACTGGGGCATCCATCTACCGTGGTACTTGATTATCGTCAAGGAACTTCTCAGCATCCTTCGGATTGGTGAATGAGCGTCTGTCTGAGCTGACCAACACCACAAACGTCGCTGGATATCTGAAGCTGCATCTCAGCTCAGCCGCTCTGCATCTGGATCTGATGCTATCGAATTGCTGCCATTGCTTCATTATTGCTGGACCCAGGTCTGGGAAGGTCCTGTGAAGAGAGTTTCAGGATGTGCTCCTTGACTGGGTCATGATGGATCTGTGCGATGATTTGGTGGGGAGGGCCATCAGCTGCAGCTGCAGCTGCCCTGCCGCGGACCCTGTGTGTGCAGTCAACTTTTGCAGGTTTGCAGAGTGTTGGTGGCTTAGTGGATAGAGCAGACGCCCCATGTACAAGGCTGTTGCTGCAGCAGCCCGGGTTCGACTCCAGCCTGTGGCCCTTTGCTGCATATCATTACCTCTCTCTTAACGGTCAAATGTCCTATCTAAAAAGGCAAAAATGCCCCAAAAAATATCTTTAGAAAGGAAAAAAAAACTTTGACAGGTTTGTTGCCAACGTTTTCTTCTCCCAGTAGCTTCAGAATGAGTTTGGCAACAAAGTCTGTGGGATTACCTTTTCCCAGTTCTTCTTTGATTCCAATAATGCAAATGTTTTTGCCTCCTGCAGCGTGAGACCAAGTCATCCAGTCTCTCGCCAAACGATTGGGCTGTGTCCTCCCATCTTGCACACTGGTCTTCCAGGGCTTTGATTCGGGACTCATGCTCATTCAGGCTGCTCTCATTTGAAGTAACTCTTTGCTCGACATCTGCCATTATTTGCTTCAGATCCACAAGAGATATTTGGAGTGTGTCAAACCTTGAGTCGACGTTTTGGCTCAGCCAGCTGATGGCAGACATGATGTCTGTCGCAGTTGGCATCTCGCTTGGCAGCGCAGCGTCGGTGTGCTGACCACTAGCTTCCACCTGGTTGGCGCTAGCGTTAGCCTCGCTATTAGCGTCGTCTGTGGGTTGTTTTTCTGCACCTTCAGCTTTGGTAGTTTTCCCCATTGTCTCTGACTGTTGCTATCAAGTTTTCAAAGGTTCTTCTCGTTAAATTGAGTTTTTAAATTGTTTGACTTGTGTGAGGGAGCAGAGCCTCACTTGAACACGTCTATCTCATCTCAAACTGAGCATTTTTTCTTTAAAAAATCAGCAGTAAAATAAAAAACTTAAGTCCCTCCCCAGTGTTTAAAATTAAACTGGACATGACTCCCCCCCCCACTAAGATAAACAATGAACAGTCCCTGAGGACAGGTTGGCTTCTGTCTGACAGGTTGTCTTCTGTCTTCTCCAGGAGCATCCCTTCATCTACACCAGAGCCCAAGTCGAGTCATCTGCTCAGACACTGGGACATTTGTCCGTGATGTGGACATCTCTGCTCTCAGTGTTGGTCCTGTTTGATAATCATCTGTAGTCTGAGCCCTGTGAGCCGACGATTCGATTCCCACTGACTCTATAAACACTCAGACAACTCTACAGGTGTTAGTTAGACCACAGAGTTCTGCTTGACTCAGAATCATTAAGTGGATCAGTTTACTCGTGATGATTTAAGGGGACGGTGTCCTGGTGATTCCATCCTGTGTGTGCTGCACCTCACAGAACACCAGATATATCCATAACCTCCTGATTTTATTTTATCAGTACTTTGAATAATATATATTTTATTAATATGAATCATCTCCTGTGATCAGATATAACTGTCAATGATTCTGACATCTGATGAAAATGTTTTAAAAAATTCAATAAAAATAACTCCAAACTGAGTTTCCTGGTGGTTTTATATGTCGTCTGAGATCATTGTCCTGATGTTAAAGTGAGACCTAACAGTTTGTAGTTTAGAGACTCAGATTGTAGTTTACAGACTCAGTTTGTAGTTTTTCCTGTTAAAACCATCCAAACTCTCTCAGCTCATTCACTCTGTCAACATGTGTCTCAGGTCGATGTGTGCTGGGTGAGTTCATGTGTGTGGTGTTTACATGTCTGACATGTTCCAGGTTTTATGTCGACACTGATTTAAACAACAGTGGATTAAATGTCTGTCACACATGCGGTCTTGCTGTACCTGCATACTCAGGTGTGTTCAGCACACAGAGTGATGTCACTGAGTGTCAGTTTCTGTCTCATGATGTCCTCAGAATGGTGTTGTGTATATTGAAGTGTGTATCTGTGTACACTGGGAGATACTCAACCCTATGATGTGAATATTCTCAGACTTATCTCAATAAACTTCAGACTGTTGATCAATCAGTTAAATGATCAGTGATATTGATTTGATCGATCACTGACCAATCGTAAATGTAATATGGTGAGTGCATTTACCCAAGTACTGTACTTCATTACAGCCCTGAGGTACAGTTACACCTGTGCTTTACATCCCTGTAGTAAATATTATACGTGTTTATTCTTTATCTGTTGATCAGTTTTTATTATTTTGGAGACTCAGATTATCCATAAAAAATATAGGCTAAACGATGAATTCTCCACCTGCTGAACCATTACAGTGATGAACACATTGATAATAATAATAATAATAATAATAATAATAATAATAATAATACTTTTATTTATTTGTTTAGTACTCAGATATTTCACATGAGTTAGGAACAATCATAAAATAAAACATCAGTAATTATAATAATCATAATATCATGAAACAGGCTGGTCTGCTTTATGAGTACTTTTACTTTAAATACTTAATTATATTTGTGGTGACGTCACTTTAACTTCGGTAACAGATCAGAGTTCTTCTTCTTCTTCTTCTTCTTCTTCTTCTTCTTCTTCTTCTTCTTCTTCTTCTTCTTCTTCTTCTTCTTCTTCTTCTTCTTCTTCTTCTTCTTCTTCTTCTTCTTCTTCTTCTTCTTCTTCTTCTTCTTCTTCTTCTTCTTCTTCTTCTTCTTCTTCTTCTCTGTACCTACAGTCTGTGGTGCTGCAGTACCGGTGTGTTGCCGCGGGCGGCAGCAGAGTGACTGTTTACAGCAGCTGGCAGCACGAGCTCCTGGCCGTTAGCAGTTAGCCGTTAGCCGTTAGCGTGGTGGAGTGTGGACAGAGTCAGACAGCAGGGAGGAGGAGGTCGCTGCTGTACTTTGTTTTTTTGTGACTAAACTCAGAGAAAAGTGTCGGGTGGAGCAGCTGACGGTGTGTCGGTGACCCGGTGACGGACTACAGACCCTCCGGTACCGACTTATTGATATTAAAGTGTCGATCGCGGCGGAAAACAACAACATTTAGCTAACAGTTAGCTTCAGGAGCTAGTCGGCTAACTTTAGCTGGCTAACGAGGTCCAGCCCAGAAGTTGTTTAGCAGTGGATGCGGTCTCCTCCTGAGCTCCTCACCAACTTTCTGCGGGACAGGAGGACAAGGACCAAAGAGTCACACTGGATTTAACACCGAGCGCTGGTAGGAAACTAGCAGGATGTCCACTGAGGTCGGCTCGGGTCTGACAGCGGCCAGCTCCGGAGCTGCGGAGGACCAGAACCAAAACAAGTCCGAGGAGACTCGACATGAGGAGGGGGACATGAAGCCCCAGAGAGGGGACCCGGGGGACAGTCGAGGCTCGGAGGCGGACACACACAACAAGTGCGAAGAAAACGATAAAGAAAACGATGAGAGCGGCGGCGGCAGCGCGGCGGAGCCGACAGGTGAGGCGGTGAAGAGTAAAGTTGTTGAAGCTCCTCCACCCAAAGTCAACCCGTGGACCAAGAGGACCACAGGACGGGTCCCGAGCAGCAGCAGTGTGGGCTCCAGCTCTCAGGACAAAGGTGAACTTAATGTGATGATGATGATGATGATGATGAAGGTAGTGACAGTGACAGTATGGTGTCAGCTCACACACACACACACACACACACACACACATCAAGCAACAGTGTTAACGTGTCTCTGCAGCTCTGACAGCCTCCTGCTCTCTCCCTCTCTCTCTCTCTCTCTCACACACACACACTTTAATCTGATCCACACTTTATTGAAACACTTATTAAATGTAGAATCAGGTGGTCGGAGCTGAATGTCAGGAGGTGTTGATGGTGGCATGTCTGTCCCATCCCCCCTCTGCTGTGCTCGGGTTGCTCCTGAGCACCACGTGTTGATTCTGACAACTGCTCAACTTTTAGCTGCAACCAGCTAACTGAGCTTCACCCTGAGCTTCACCCTGCTCTGACGGAGGGTGGGTGGTGTTGGTGTGACACGGCACACAGCCAGAAACAGTCCGAGTCCACACACAGCCTCGTGTTTAATCTGTGTGAGGGTATAAAGTGAAGCTAAGGCTAACTGCTGCTGTATAGACACGTTCCTCATGTCCAATGGCCTGTCAGCCTGCAGGTCCTCCTCCCACCTCCTGCTGCTCTGCTCCGTCACTGCTGACACTCAGTAAGGTGCTCCAACAGGTGGGACACCCACTACAGGTCAGGTTAGGGCTGAAATAATTTAATACAACTATTGTTTTTATCATGTTTCATCAGCCAGTATGTAGGAAATGAGACCAAAAGATGTATAAGGGACTGTTCGTTATTAATGGGGGGGGGGGGGGGGGGGGGGGGGGGGTGCAAATAGGTGGAGGCATGTCAAATATCAAATAATTACTTTAGCTCTGGGGAGGGACTCATGTTTTTTTATTTTGGCTCAGAGGGGCACAAGAAGTTAAACAGCTGTATTTGGTGTTTATTTCACTGCCGATTCTTAAAAAATGACTTTAAAACAGTAAAAAAGAAAAAAAGATTTGTAATTAAAAAAAAAATCAGTTTTTAAAAAGTCATTTTTTTTTATTTATTAGGTTTTTTAATACATTTTTGAAAAAGGTTTAAAAGGTGTTTTTTTTATTTTTTAAGAATTCATTTTTAATGAGTATTATTTTTTTTTTAAAGATTTTCTTTTTCAATTTTTAAAACTCTTTAAAAAGCCATTGTTAAAGAAAACAAGACAATTTTTATAGAAAACATTTGTCTTTAAAAACCACCCAAATATTTATCACACACATCAGGTGCCACAAACACTTCACACTTAACCATGTCTGATCTTAAAATATTATATTTAATCAGAATCACTTTATTCTACATTTCATTTAAAATGTTGCTAAAAGGTGGAGGCATGTCAAACAGTTTTTTTACTTCTGTCTGAGGGTAGGAGCATTTAACTTTTAATAGCTGTGTTTTGTGTTTATTTTACCGCTGATTTTAAAAGAAAAAATCATCTCCGTGGGTTTGGATGGTTTCCTTTAATAATCTTTGGTGATTTTTGTCCTTTAAAAGTTTATGATGATGATCTCTTACAGAAAATATCCAACATTTTTCTTTAAAAAAATTTGGTGAATGTTCTTAAGATTTTTTTTTTTTTAAACGTTAATTTGTTTTATTTTTTTTACCTTAAAAAGTTTTAGTGATGTTCAAAGAAAAATATTTGGAGGTTCAGGGAGGGTCAAAATAAGAACAGCCACCTCCTCCTCTGATAAATTACTGACAAAAATGTAAAAATACACATCATTAACATTCAGAATGACGTATAATACAGAACTCAGTATTATTTCAACCAGTAAAAACACAACAGTTTTGCAAAAGAAAAAAAGCTGAAACAATATAAACAGTTAAAGTCATTTTTAAAAATCTTGTCAGTTGATTTTTAAATTGTTTTTTAAATGTGTGAAATGACAGAAGTGAAAAACACCCAGAAGCTGTTTTGCTATGTTTCCTTTATAAATGGCTTTAACAGATAATTATTTATCAAAATAGTTCATTATGACTGACGTTCAGTTGTAGCAGTGTGTTGAGGTATACTGTGATATAAGAGTTGACACTTATACTGTGAACATTTTCTTATCTAATAAAGCTGACTGGGTGGAGAAAAGACAAACTTTACACACACTAACATTAAAAACTGGTTTCAAGTTTTGATTACAGGAATTAAACATCAATTTAATAAAAAAAAAACTGTTTTTATGTCTTTAAGGCTCCTTAAGACAATAATAAGATTAATTCTGTAACACTGTGAAAACACGATATTTTCTGAGATGGTTATTGTACTGTGACAATCATCATTGTGCCCTATGACCCAAGCATCGAGTTGACTAATGTGCAGATTAATTTATAGAAATGAATCCCAAATACCATTGCAGTGTCCGAGCCCAGTGTGATGCCTTCACATGTCTCGTTTGATAAACTGTTAATTGATTTATCATATTAGTTGCTGATTATTTTTACTTTATGTTTATTAATCCGAATAATTAACTTCATCATTTCAGCTGTAGAAAATGTCCGTCATGATCTCCTCAGAGAGACACGACATCTTTAAATCATTTCTTTTCTCCAACCAACAGTTTAAAACTCAACAATATTCACTTTATAATGATGTTAAACAGAAACTTTAACACTGAACAGATGATCACAAATTGTTTCTGATAAATGTTGAACAATGTTTTGGATGTTTTAAACTCTGAGTACAACAGGATCAGAAGTTTAACCCCATAAATGATATTAAAGGGCTACTTCACCAATTTTACACATGCAGTTCATCTGCCGCTTTTGATGTGACATAATGATGTCATCAGGTTCAACCTGACATTAAAAACTTAAAACATGAAGTGTTTGTTACAGACTGAGGGTCTGTGGAGTTTTAAACATGTGTGTGTGTGTTTATCAAAGAGGGAGTGTGTGAGGGACCAAACTGTTGCATTATGGGAAATGTAGGAGTGTTTTTGCCAGGATGTGTCGTCCTCTGCCGCTCCAGATTTATCTGATCTTTTTTATTAATCTCTTC